GCTTCATTGGACAAGTCAAATTTAATTTCAGATAAGAAATTCTGTGGACTAGCTGTTAGTGTTTAGCTTCTTTATATAGATTTTGAATCCATAATTGTATCAAATAATTCTATTTTCTTTCATTTATGGGCATCACTTAAATGGTTAGACTTGAATTAGAAAAACCTTGATTAAAACACTTCAAAGAAAATAATTTCATTTTTGAAAGTCATGCTTGCTGCTAATAGAACTGCTATTGCTTTGCAGGTCTTCAGTCTAAGCACGAACAAGAAATGGCAAATTTGACTCTTATGACACAGCCTTTCAAAACACTGAAGCTTTTTGTTATGGCAGTACTAGAGTGGCTCAGGCAGTCCCTGGCATATCTTTTCTCACATGCTTTATGGTTTGTGCTATTCAGCTGTGTGGCTGTGCTTTCTGGAATGCTGCTTTTGACCACAGATTCAGCCCATGAAAAGGTACGATTTGTATCATCTGTTGTTAAGAATTGCTATGTTTTGTAATGAATTGAAACGTATTGTTATTATGAAGTTTAAGTATTTACTCCCTTCAACCAGCTTGGTTGGCGTGAGTGGCCGTGCACTCTTGTCCCTTAAGAGAGGTCAGGAGTTCGAACCCCCTCTCGTATGGAAAAACCAATCTGGCCAGCACTTTGCCCCTTAATTGGGCCGGCCCAGTGCGAACGGGGATTAGTCTAAGTATGGTACGACCTTAAAGGTGCCTCCTACAGTTAGGACCTGCTCAGGACACCTCATGGTCTGAAAAAAAAAAAAAAAAAAAAAAAAAAAAAATATATATATATATATATATATATATATATATATATATATTTATTTATATATTTATTTATTTATTTATATATTTACTCCCTTCTTTTTTGGGTTCTTTATCCGTGTCACCGATCTGGTAACCTTTCTTGTTGTAATTGACATATGCCTCTCCTTCCCGCCATAACAGATGGAGGAAGTCCTTGAGTATGTACAGTTTGGAGTATGGTGGATTGCTCTCGGTGTTGCATCTTCGATTGGCCTTGGTAAGGCAAATTAATTATTCCCTGCCGATTTTTCCTGCTTGTTACTTCTTGGTCTTCTGGTAATCGAGTGTGCCTAAAGCTAACTGGTATTCTTGTCTTCCCTATAAAATCTTGACTTCCAGTAAGCAGCTTATGAATGAAAAACTCTGATCTTGTACTCTTCGTTTTGGCATAATGCAGGGTCCGGTTTGCACACCTTTGTTCTGTATCTAGGCCCTCACATTGCGTTCTTCACTATAAAAGCAGTGAAATGTGGTCGAGTTGACATTAAAAGTGCTCCGTATGATACAATTCAACTGAAAAGAAACCCTTCATGGCTTGGAAAGGATTGTTCCCAGTTTGGCCCCCCGTTGTTTTCTTCCTCTAATGGCACACAAGTTCCGTTGAGTAGTATCTTGCCCCACGTGCAATTAGAGGCTATTCTGTGGGGCCTTGGGACTGCCCTCGGAGAGCTTCCCCCCTATTTCATTTCACGAGCAGGTAATAACAATTAAACCTCTATCGATCCTTGGCAGTGAAACCCATTTTTCAAAGCAGGTTTTAATTGTTGAAAAATAAAGAGTTAGGTTTATCTATAGGGTTGTGTCTATTAATGAAAAGGTGTCAGTTATGGGTAGTTACCAGTTAGTTTTGGACGTCTTTGAATTGAACATTTCACCTGTGCTTTACCATACCCTTTTTATTTCGTTTGTACTTGCACTTTCATATGCATTATTTTATATATCTAACTGTATCAGATTCTTCTTATGAGCAAAGAACATTTCCGTATTTATTAACATGTTAATATCTCTCCATATCCCCTTTTGCAGCAAGCATTTCAGGAAGTAGTATAGATGAGCTGGATACTTCCTCGACTGAAAATAACGGACATCAAGAAACTAATCTAAATCAAATTAAGCGCTGGTTTCTTTCACATGCTCAATATCTAAACTTCTTCACCATCTTGATTCTTGCTTCGGTTAGTGCAGACTTCTGACCATTTCTTTTGGTTTTATCGCCAACTTTATTTTGCAAATTAGCTGTATTCACCACACAAATGCTGACAAATCTTCCCGTGCGGCCGGTGCAGATTCACCATCAGGTATGCATAAATGCACCACACAATGTTCGGAAATGCACCAATGCACCACAAAACGCACCACACACCAAAAAAATGCACCACACCTCGCCACACCTAATGGTGCATTTCTGAATACTTTGTGGTGCATTTATGCGTACCTAATGGTGAGTGACCGCACGGGAACTTGACTCTATAGATTTGTCTTTTGAGTATTAACAATTTGATGATTGTACTCTAGTTCAATGTTTAAGAGGAAATGCGTAATACTTGTACCAAAAAAAAAAAAGAGGATTTCGGCTTAAAAAAAGGTAAAAAGGAAAGTCATTGGAAGAATTTTCCCTTTTGTTTTTCCTGACGTAGATTTTGTCTTCTCGTTCCATTTTCTTTACCCAACCCTGTTAGGTTAAAGTTCGGGATTGTTTGGTTGCATGTAAATATCTTCGTTTATACTCTATGCATCTCTTGTTGATTATCCAAAATGCTGTGTAGGTGCCCAATCCTCTATTTGATTTGGCTGGCATAATGTGTGGACAATTTGGCATTCCATTCTGGGAGTTCTTCTTTGCTACGTTGATTGGAAAGGCTATCATTAAAACGCATATACAGGTTTGTCAAGTTTCAGAACCCAAACATAATGTTGCTTTGAGATTGAGTTCTTGAAATCTGACAAGAAATTTGGTTCCTCGTTCCCTGGCAGACAGTCTTTATAATTTCAGTGTGCAATAATCAGCTCCTCGACTGGATGGAGAACAAATTCATTCGGGTCCTCAGCTTTGTTCCGGGTATGGAATCCATCCTACCCAACGTGATCGCGAAGCTTCACGCCATCAAAGACAAGTATATGATAACCAAACCGCATTCCCCTTCAAATACTAAGGTGACATAGACTGCAGATCAGATTACTTCCTTTGATAACCCAACAGGGTGGCTCAAGTGGCAAATGAGCTCTCTTTGTGGGGAGAATTCCGGGATAACTCGGGTTCGATTCCCACAACTGACGATTCTCTTTGGGCCAAATTCCCACAACTGACGATTCTCTTTGGGCCAAATAACCCGGGTTCAATTCCCACAACTGACGATTCCCTTTGGGCCAGCTTAATTGGGTGGACCTGGACCGTTAAACGGACAGAGAAAGACCCATACCACCTCGTGGTTTACACCAAAAAAACAAAACAAAAGATTGCTTACTTTGATCACAATTGCTCTCGTTTTCTTTAATCTCAATGCTACTTCTTATCAGGTGAAATGGGACTTCTCATTTGCTTCGATCTGGAACACAGTGGTATGGATCATGCTTCTGAACTTCTTCGTTAAGATCATAAATGCAACCGCACAGAACTATCTCAAGAAACATCAAGAGCGGGATTTTGGTGCTGTGAAGGGCAAGTCATCAATGCAGAGCAGACTCGAATGAATCTTATGAATCATAGAGACGAATACTGTGTTTTGCCTTTTCGATTCATCTCATGCTAGGTTACTGCACAATTACTTACACAATTCACCATTGAACCCTGTGAGGGAACACCCAAAAGGCCAAAACTTGTATAGGATAGAATACAGAAGAATTACAGGCTTATATTATATCAGGTATGGAGTATTACCACCATTCTTTTTGAGTGGCCATTTTTGTTTAGCAAATACATATGTTAATATTTGGCTTTGCAATTGACTTTCCACAGTTTGGAAGTGAAGATTTCATTTTTTATTTCCCCTTTGGTTTAGAGCATCATCAAGACTAGAAATTTGGTTATATTTAGGAGTGTTATGATTTCGGTTATCTTGTTCAATTAACTGAATTTTTTATCATGTGTGCCCGCAATAAACACTAGAAATAATAAGCAAAAACGTAAACAAATAAGTCCAATTATTCTATCAAAATTTTATTTCTAGACGGCTTGTAATGCTGTTTTTTATATCTCAAAGGTTAGCATAAGTTCACCATCTTCTTGTGATTTCCTTATTCAAACCACGGTTTTTTTTGGTCATGTTTTTGTTTTTTTATTCCTTTTCTCTATTTTTAACATTCATGTTTCAAACAGATTGGGTTGTTGGTATTTGATAAATTAAGTCCAATTATTCTATCAAAATTTTATTTCTAGACGGCTTGTAATGCTGTTTTTTATATCTCAAAGGTTAGCATAAGTTCACCATCTTCTTGTGATTTCCTTATTCAAACCACGGTTTTTTTTGGTCATGTTTTTGTTTTTTTATTCCTTTTCTCTATTTTTAACATTCATGTTTCAAACAGATTGGGTTGTTGGTATTTGATAAATTAGCTGTTAGTTGATAGCTTTTGGTGTATATATATATATTTTAAAGAACGTGGTATAATTTCTTTAATCAAAATGCTAATTGATTGAATTTTAGCATTTTGGAGTTACAAAAAAACTAATTATAAGAGATTTTTTTGAATATACAAGAGATGAAGTGACAATATAGGGATCGGAGTTCCAAAGTGATATGAAGCCTTAGTGAACCTTTGACTTGAATTTTGGTTTGATGATAAGTTGGGATGAGAACTAAGTGGTTAGGTTTCGAAGACAAGACATCTTTTAAAGAGGGTAAAGTGTGATACCCCGAATATTTTTACTATATTATTTATTTATGAGACCCAAAATCTTTTAAGAGTACTCTACTTATATTATTTCGAGACAAATATAATTTTACTTGTATTATATTATTCTAAATATATATATTATTTATATGCCTAAATACTAGTCACACGAATCAGCTTTATTTTCTCTAATAATTATTTTATTAATAGTATATTACTAATTTTATTTCTATTGATAAACAATTAATAATGATCAAATAAGTCAAAATTAGCTGATAAGCTAACTATTTTACCAAATGGGGCTAAAGTCTTTAACAAAAAATATAATGTTGGAAGGGACTAGCAAATACATAAACAGGGATTTTAACAGAGTATGAAAATTGATTGAAAGGCAATTACAATGACAAGGGACCAAATTTTATTTTAATGCTCCGTCCAAATTGAATATTATCGCTCATAGCTAGGATGAACAATAGCAATCTTATTGTAAGCATAGAAATGAAAGAGGACTTCATGCATGGCCGATCTCGATCTCTGTCTTCTTCTTCTTCGATCTTCAATTCAAGCCATTTCATAGCTCCTAACATCGCTCCTAAAGAACTTCCGCCACACAGGGTGTTGCTTCCACACTTTCTCCACCATCAAATCCACCGGCACCCCTTTCGTCTCCGGCACGAAGAAGAACACGAACAGCCCCATCGCCACTATCCACGCCGAGAAGAAGAAGAAGATGAAAGCTTGCATCCCGCACATCATTGACAAGAAGGCTTGAGCGATGATGAAGGTGCAGAGCATATTGGTGCTGACGGCGAACGCGAACCCCGCCGTTCTGGTCTCCAGCGGGAAGATTTCGCTGGGGATTAGCCAACACAGCGGCCCCCACGACCAGGCGAACGCCATCACGTATAGGCAGATGAGAATCACTACCACGGTAGAGAGGGTCTTGTCTAGGGAGCCGGTGGTTTTCAGGTTGGTGGCGAGGATTATGCCGACTGCCATCTGGGAAATCACCATCTGAATGCAGCCTTGGAGGAGGAGCTTCCGCCGCCCCGCCTTGTCGACGGTGTAGATGGAGACGAAGGTGGCCAGGACGTTGACTAGCCCGGTGATGATGGAGGAGAGGAGGGACCCATTGGCCTTAATACAAGGGATGAGAATTAGGAAGGAATTATAAAGACTATAGGAACAGGAACTATAAATAAATAAATACATAAACATATAACCAAATATAATATTAGGTACCTTGAACCCCATGGTCTGGAAAAGAACCGGGGCGTAGAACATGACGGCGTTGATGCCGGTGAACTGCTGGAAAACTTGAAGGAGGACGGAGATGATGAGTTGAGGCTGGCCGGACTTCTTCGTCAGCTTCTTAAACGGCCTCTTCACCTGCTTCGCCGCCTCGCATCCCGCCACGATCGTCTCAAACTCCGCCTCCACATTCTCCACCCCCCTTAAATTCTTCAACGCCACCCTCCCTTCCTCCACCTTCCCCCTCTCCACCAAACTCGCCGGCGTCTCGCTGATCACCAGGCTCCCCAGCCCCAGCATCACCGCCGGAACCGCCGCCAGCCCGAGCGACACCCTCCACCCGTTAGGATGCATCTCCAGCGTAAAGTAGTTCACAATATTTGCAATAAATATCCCGACCGTGATGAGGAGCTGGAACAGAATATTCACCGCCCCTCTGTGTTGCACCGGCGCCACCTCCGTCAAAAACAACGGCACCGTCTCGTTCCCAAACCCGACACCGATACCAAAGAAGATGCGACCCAAGATGAGAATCCATTTATGCTCAGCAAAAGCGCTGAGAGCGGCGCCGATGATGAAGAGGACAGACGCCATGAGAATGGTGGGCTTCCGGCCGAGCAAATTACAAGCTTTAGATGCACCGAAGCTGGCCACCAGCGCCGCCATGTACAACGATGAAGTGAAGAGCTGAAGCATCTGATTGTCGAATTTACAATAATTATTCTCCACCGCACGCTTCTTCTTTTCATACACCGCCGGGAAGAATTTTATCAAGAAATCATCCATCCCACTCACTCCACCTATATATATTATTAAATATTAATTAATTTGCATGATAACTATAGTTTTAAAAAAATTAAATTACAAAATAATTAATACCTGAAATCCCGATATCATAACCAAACATCAAACCACCAAAAGCAGCCAGGATCCAGCAAGAAAGAACATAGGCTGTGATTTTGGATTCAAAAACCTCATTACCCGTAGTAGCTGTCATTTTTTACCTCTTTTTTCCTCAAATTTTCAAAAAAAAAAAAAAAAAAAAAAAAAAAAACTAATTTTTTCTTCAAAATGCAAAATAATGGATAAAATTTAATCTTAATTTTTTCTAGGTATGTGTTGTTGGTTGGAGAAACTCCAATTTATTTTTTTTTTTTCCAGAATATGGGATGTATTTTTTTCTCTTGAGTAAAGGATGTACTCAGATTGAAAACTTCACTGTCTATATATCCATCTATTTATACTTAGGTTTCTACTATAATTTAACTAAATTTGCTTATAAAAATGCATTTCCAAGAAAATAGGTTTTGACCCATTACTATTGCTGTTGTTGTTATGCTACTTTTTGAAAAGGTCAGATGCAGAGAAATTTTGATTATTATTACTTTTTAAGATGGGTACGTCTAGCATCTATATAAATTGTATATTAATAATGTTCAAATTATATTATAATTATGTTCGTATTTATTTGTTTACTAATAAAGTCTAATCACTAAATTTAAATTGATCTATAATTTATTACTATTGGTTTCTATTAAATTGTTATTAGTGCTAAAAGTTTAGATTCGTTCAATTAAATTAGAGTATTAAATGCAGTGAGCATTTGTCCAAATTGAACAAAGTTTCATAATCGACAAATTAAAGCTATGTAGTATTGCACCAAAATTGATAATATGTGAAGGGCATTCAAACCCCTTTCAAGATGCAATCGAGATATAGTTAACAATGTTTTAGCATTTGTATTTTGCACTTTATACTTTAATTTTAAATGTGTACTAGCTTTTAGCATTCTCTTATATTATATTGTATATATAGAGATCGAACTCTCATAGAATAAGGCTTCCGGGTGTAGAGAAATGTTAATTATTGATTTAATAGATTTAACGATTGTAAAATAAATAAAATTAAGAGGGAAAAAGATATTGAAGTCAATCAATTTCATATATATTACAAACTTTCAAAAGATCTCACTCTTTTCTCTTATTTCTAGTTATTGATAATTCAAGATGGACGATTCAAATTAGTCCCCCCCCCCCCCCCCACACACACATATATGTTGGGAAAAGTGGCATGAGAGTTTTGAGACTTCTATAAAAAGAGACTCAAGGCTCCAATTTAAAAATTAAACTTGCCCATCTGTTGATGGGCAATCAGTGAGCCAGTTAAACTGGCTCTTGTTATTCAAGGAGTCGAAACGGCTCTACAATGAACGTTTTTTTTAATACACGGGTGTTTTGGGAAAATCATTCTCTAAAACGCTAAAGTGAAAATATTGTAAATTGCAGTGTTTGTATTTTCAGTGGGTTGGAACCACTGTTGCAAAAATCGGTCTAGGCGCTAGGCGCCCCTAGACCGTGGCGATTTCCCCCCTAGGCGCACGCCTAGGTGACCGGCCGCCTAGGCGTCCGCCTAGGCAACCGGTCGCCTAGGCGTCCGCTTAGCGCCTGACTCGGCCGACTAGGCAGCCGCCTAGCGTCTAACTTAGCCGAGTTAACTCGTCCATTCAGCTCGACCTTGCTAATTTTTTTTCATTATATGTGTGTGTGTGTATACATATATACATACATATATATAATATGACATATATACACCCCGTAGACTAAGCTAGTTTGATACTTTGAATCTTTAGATGAATGAAATATTTGAGTATTTTTAATTTTTAATATTGTTTTGATGTTATGACTTATAAATTATCATTATTTCATTTATTTGGATGTGTTATTTGATTGAATGTTGAAAACAATCTCATTAAAATTGTCAAACTGTAAGTCTGCCACTGTTTTTTTTTTTTTTTTTTTTGCGCCCGCCTAGATTCCGCCTAGGCGCAGCCTAGACCGCCTAGGCGCTGCCCGAGCGCCCAGCGCCTACTGCAACCATGGTTGGAACAAATTATTGCTCCATACTGTTGAATAACTAAACACTTTCTATACCATTTTGATGTTTGGGTTACATCATATTTACCACTGTCCAATATATTTGAGTTACATTATATTTAAATTTTTTAAATTTTTACTAGTTCATCTAAATTCCTTAAATTAGGAATTTCTTTATTCATAATAATCCATTCAACAATAATGGTTGAACTAAATAAACACTGAGCTAAACACCTAAAAAAACTAGTACCGTTGATTTATTCATTGATCTTGTATGTGCATCCATTAAATATATTAGAACCCTTTGCAACAAAAATACTTGGTTACTATTTTAAAAAAAAAATTATTGACAATTATAATGAATCTCCTATATTATCTTGTATTCATATACTATGAGTTACATATTTAAATAAACAAATATGACATGAAATTATTTATGTATGAACTTCTCTTCGACATTAAATTAGTTATGTATGAACTTCTCATATTAGTTTCAAATATTTAATTATAAACATTGACTCATTCGCACCGCAATGTACGTGTAAAACTAGTATATATATTTTGGTTCAAATGAGAACATATATGACTTGACTCATTCGCACCGCAATGTACGTGTAAAACTAGTATATATATTTTGGTTCAAATGAGAATATATATGACTTCCCGTGCGGTCAGTGCGATTTACACCATTAGGTATGCATAAGAATGCACCACACATAATGTTGTATTTTCGAACACCGATATATATATATATATATATATATATATATATATATATATATATATATATATATAGGGTGTGAATCTAGTGAGATGACCTAATAAGATGAGATCATAAGATCTCATCTCAACCATTAAAAAGGTTAGAATGGATGGATATGATTAAAAGTCAACTAGCATTTAATCAAGAATATTTTTAAAAGAAAAATGTGAAAGAATAATTGTATTATGGTGTTTAATTTTAGTTATAATTGAAATAAAATATTTACTATAATATAAGGGATCCTATTAATATAAATAATTAATTATATATACTTGTCTAGATTAAATTACTTTCTTAGAGTATAAGTTAGTTTACATTCTTGGGATTTAGGCTAATTTATCTTATGGAGTACGGCCTCAAACAAGGGTTGAGATTTGTTTATTATATGACAATAGTTTATTTTCTCAAGGTCGATTTAAACTGATTTATTTTCTTAAAAGTACTGACAGAGTTTATTTTCTTGAAGTGCTGGACAGAGTTTAGATTACAAGAACTTGACCTCTCAGTATGAGAGAGTTCATCAAAACTTGCATATGCTAATTTATTTTCTCAGACTTCTTTCAGAGCTTGACCTTAGTTTGGAAATGTGAAGGCCGGCCATGCTTTAATTTTCTGTTGGATCATTTCGACCGATCGATCGAGCGGCTTCAATTCAAGCCATTTCATAGCTTCTAGCATCGTTCCTAAAGAACTTCCGCCACACCGGGTGTTGCTTCCACACTCTTTCCACCATTAATTCTACAGGCACACCTTTGGTCTCCGGCACGAAGAAGAACACGAACAGTCCCATCGCCACTATCCACGCCGAGAAGAAGAAGAAGATGTAAGCTTGCATCCCGCACATCATTGACAAGAAGGCTTGCGCGATGATGAAGGTGCAGAGCATATTGGTGCTGACGGCGAATGCGAACCCCGCCGTTCTGGTTTCCAGCGGGAAGATTTCGCTGGGGATTAGCCAACACAGAGGCCCCCACGACCAGGCGAACGCCATCACGTATAGGCAAACCAGAACCACCACCACGGTTGACAGGGTCTTGTCTAGGGATCCGGTGGTTTTCAAGTTGGTGGCGAGGATTATGCCGATTGCCACCTGGGAAATCACCATCTGAATGCAGCCTTGGAGGAGGAGCTTTCGCCGCCCTGCCTTGTCCACGGTGTAGATGGAGACCATGGTGGCCAGGACGTTGACTAGGCCGGTGATGATGGAGGAGAGAAGGGATCCGTTGGCCTTAATACAAGAGAATTAGGAAGGAGTTATAAAGAAAGGAATTATAAATAAATAAATAAATACATAAACAAATATAATATTAGCCACCTTGAACCCCATGGTCTGGAAAAGAACCGGGGCGTAGAACATGATGGCGTTGATGCCGGTGAACTGCTGGAAAACTTGAAGGACGACGGCGATGATGAGTGTGGGCTGGCCGGACTTCTTCGTCAGCTTTTTAAACGGCTTCTTCACCTGCTTCGCCGCATCGCATCCCGCCACGATGGTCTCGAACTCCGCTTCCACATTCTCCACTCCCCTTAGCCTCTTCAGCGCCGCCTTCCCCTCCTCCACCTTCCCCCTCTCCACCAAACTCGCCGGCGTCTCGCTGATCACCAGGCTCCCCAGCCCCAGCATCACCGCCGGAACCGCCGCCAGCCCGAGCGATATCCTCCACCCGTTAGGATGCACCTCCGCCATAACGTAATTCACAATATTGGCAATGAATATCCCGACCGTGATGAGCAGCTGGAACAGAATGTTGACCGCCCCTCTGTGTTGCACCGGCGCCACCTCCGTCAAAAACAACGGCACCGTCTCATTCCCGAACCCGACACCAATACCAAAGAAGATGCGGCCCAAGATGAGAATCCATTTATGCTCAGCAAAAGCGCTGAGGGCGGCGCCGATGACGAAGAGGACGGACGCCATGAAAATGGTGGGGCGGCGGCCGAGCATGTTACAAGCCTTGGATGCACCGAAGCTGGCCACAAGCGCCGCCAAGTACAACGATGAAGTGAAGAGCTGAAGCATCTGATTGTCGAATTTACAGTAGTTGTTCTCTACCGCACGCTTTTTCTTTTCATACACCGCCGGGAAGAATTTTATCAAAAAATCATCCATCCCACTCACTCCACCTATATATATATTAAATATTAATTTTTATGATAACAATATTTATTCAAAAAATGCTCTCACAAGTGACCATCCCCTTTGGGTCAGCTTCTCTGTCTCTCAAAACAAACCAGAGTAGACCTGAACCGTTAAACAGACAAAGACAATTCCTAGACCGCGGACAAAGAAAGACTCGAACCACGTGATTGACACCAAAAAAAATATATTTATTCAAAAAATTAAATTATATTTTTTTTTCTTTTTTTTTTTTGAAAATTAAATTATATATAATTACCTGAAATGCCAATATCATAACCAAACATCAAACCGCCAAAGGCAGCCAGGAACCAACAAGCCAGAACATAGGCTGTGATTTTCGATTCAAAAACATCATTACCGCTTGAGGCTGTCATTTTCTTTACCTTATTTGTTTTTCTTTTCAAATTACTCAAGCAAACAATAAATTTTTATTTTCTGGGTATGTGTTGTTGGCTGGAGAGACTCCAGTTTATTTTATTATTATTATTCTTTTTTTCAGAGTATGGGATGTACAGAGATCACTGTTTTGAAGTTTTCCCTTTTCTATCTATTCCTTTTATACTCAGGTTCTACCATAATTTAGCCAATTTTGTTGATAATATGAAAGAAAATAGGGGTTTGACCTATTATTTCTATTATATTGTTATGCTTTTGAAAAGGTCAGAACAGATGTATCTGTCCCTTGGTTTACAGAATTAGAGGAATTCCAATTGGTTTTAATTTTTAAGGTAAGTGTAAATTTTATATTAATAATGTTTAAATTATTATATTATAATTATGCTAATAATAAAATTTAAATGTACCAGTTTTTTCTTCTCCCAATGTACCAGTTTTTTTTTACTCTATTAGTAGTAGTCAAAGCCCCACATTGAGATTCAAACCTGAGACTTCTCATTTGAGAGACCACACCTATGCTGCTCGACCACAAATGTATCACGTTTACCTAATAATATGCCTATTTCTGGAGCATTTTTTAAAAATAGCTTATGGGGGTAAAAATATGTTTTCTTTAGTTTCTAAGTGCAGAGTATTATTCATACTAAATTAAAATTATATGATTTTATTGCCACAAAATTAAGGGTTCGTAATAAAGTGTTTATAACTTACAAGAGATTGTGTAATACTTTTGATGAAAAATGTAATATTTTTATAAATTAAGGGTTCGTAAATTAAAACTGACATTATTCTCAGGAGCGGGGATTTATCCAATACATACCCTTAGACAATGACAGTGGATTTAATAATAATAATAATAATAATAATAATAATAATAATAATAATAATAATAAAACACTGACTTTATTCTTTCATACAATTCATTGGTAAATTAGAGCTTCAACATTTTCTGGGAAGCAGCTCCAGAGTCTGCGAGATCACCATACATCTCTTCTATAGCTCTAGCAAAGTAAGCTTTTGCTTGCTGTCTTTTGATCTGAAAGAAATAAATTAAAACTAAACCAACTTGTTTTCACACTGTGGTACTACTATGGCAGAGAAAGCTGATCCATTTGCACAGACCCAAGTGGTGCATATAATATAGGGAAATGCTTCCCTATAATATATGTGGGGAAAATATACTGACAGAAATACTGAGTCCCCTAATTATGAAACCTTCTGATTTAATTTCTCAATTATCATCTCATAAAGATTTATAGGAAAACTCGTAGCCGCTATTCAAAGGTGCGCTCTGAGTGAAACTCGCCTTCTAATTGTAACCGACAAATAACCACAAGGAGGTAAACTAGTCCAGATTGTCTATAGCTGACCGACTCAAACCAAAAAGGTCAATAGACAACTCCCACAAGAAGTTGAACTTGGAACCTTGTGGTTACTAAGCCAACTGTCCAACCAACTTAGTTAGGGGTTACCTCCACAGTTATAGTTTCTTAATGACACTTATGACAGGATCAATTTGCCCTTCAAAGTCCTAAATTTACAGGGTTACTTGTGTAATTTACTTCCAAACACTAATATTTAATTGATTCTTGTGTAGTCTCCCTATCAAGTTAAACTTTTAGCTGAAACAAAATACATTTTTCAATTTAATATCAAGATAGTCAAAACTCAAAAGGTCCTAATATTGATGTGTGATGGCATGAAAAGGTGCTGGGATCCATGATATAGTTTGCTACATTCTACAGCACATATCAGTTTCAAGTAGTGTACCTTTAATGTGGGAGTGAGCAGACCATTCTCCAGTGTAAATGGTTCAGGCACCAAAGTCACAGCCTTTGCATATTCAAAACCTCTCAACTGCAAACCATTATGTATTGAGGGGGAACTACCAAATTAAATAAACAAGTTACGGAGTATTTTACTTCCAAGGTTTCTGGAAGAAGAATACCTGTGCTTCTTTTCCGATTGCATCCATGTCAGCCAATACTGCAGACCTTGCTTTTGCGTTGCTACACAGCTCTTTCAGATCATTATACTACACCCATATATTGATGAAATACTACACATTAAACAGGTATGACCGAGAAGGCAACTAAAATAGGAAGACTTTTGGGTTCAGTTGTGGTTAAATCTGATGGGGGAAAGGACTTGGTCTTAAACCGTGAAGTTACCTTGATGCCTTCAGTTGCAGCCCATGCTGTCAGCATCTCTGGATCAACTGAGACTATGGCAACCAAGGAAGAATTCAGGCTATCGCCTAGCATTACAAATGGCGGTAAGCATCAGAAAGGATAAATATGTAGGTAATGGGCAGAAGAGGAGAGTCTTAAGCAACTTTGTATTCTCACCATACACAAAGCATTGGGCGATAAACTTGCTTTTAGCATACACATTCTCTATTTTCTCAGGAGCTACATATTCTCCTTGTGCCAATTTGAAAATGTTTTTCTTCCTGTCAAAACACAGATTAGTAGTTAGTAGTTATTAGTCTTTCATTAAACTCCAAAACTTGAAATATTCAAAGTTGCATTGCAAAAGATCAGGAGGTTAGTCTGGGAAGATTGGGAAGACATTATACCCTTTCTGAACTTAAATCTTTGTAAAAGAAAATGTACCAACCTATCAATTATCTTTAAGCGACCCCTAGGAAGCCATAATCCAATATCACCAGTTCGAAACCATCCATCTTCATCAATTACTTCTCTCCTGGAGAATTCAATCTATTAGGTGATGATTTTAACGAGAATGTTTTCATAATAACAGAGGGAGTCCTAAATAAGAGAAGAGTTTACGTCTGCACTTCATCCTTATAATAGCCTTGGAAGATTATGGGTCCTCGTATACATATCTCACCACGGGGATGAGGCTGATCTTCAGATGTATAATTCATTTCTGGTACATCCACTAGCTTTATTTCTGGGTGATGAGAAGAACATGCAAATCCTTATTCCATATTTCCATCATGTGTCAAAGAGGAGTACAAAGAATCAAAAAATGACTACCAAATACTAACCGCATGCAGGGTTAGGAGCACCAACATGACCAGATAAGATGTCATTCATGTCCATAGTACTTATCGCACAGGATGTTTCAGTCATCCCATATCCTTCGACGACTTGACAACCAAAGCACCTGAAAATACTCAGATGCATAAAATGTCAAAATCTAATTTTTTGCATGACATTAATTAACTAAATTTCATGCATCTGAGTATAACATTTTTTTTTTTTATCAAACCACTACTTTATGTTGTTTCATTTGACTCTGATTATTCAATCCATAGTTAGCACATAGTGGGAAAAACAAAAAAAAAAAAAAAAAAAAAAAACTTACACACGCAAAAAGTCCATGACATCAGGAGACAATGGTGAAGCACCTGAAACCATTAAACGGACTTTTCCCCCTAACCTTGCTTTTATTTTGTTGAACACCAACCTGTCCCACATTTGAGAAGGACTTTTACCTGAAAAGGTAGATTAGAACATAAGAGTATGTATATTAGATCTTTGAGAGAGGAAAAGAGAGGTCTTTTAGAGCCAAAGAGACCTACAATGCTGAGCATATCAATTGAAAGGGCAACACAGAATGTATAAAGAATTTACTTACAAAACCTTATTCCTTACATTGATAGGATACAAACCAATCAATCTGAATGGTTATCAAAACCTATTCTACAGTGACAAAAAGCATGAAAGAGTACCCATATTACTTTTTTTTTTTTTTAAATCACCTTTGTCCTTCTTTGTTATAATATAACACACTAATGCATTGGTGATTGAAGATACTTTAATCTTTACAAAGAGCATTACCATGAATCCAATATAAACACTTGAAATTTTTTTGTCAAGCCTGAAGAAATGCTTGATGAGCAATTATCAAATATGACGAGTTACCAACCAATTACAAACATAGTTAATCAAATACTCACCGGCAAATATTGCATGCTTCTTAGCATTGTAGGCAGTGTTGAACATCCTCTCTCTCAAAACACCAGAGGTTTTAACAACATTCATAATGCTGCAATAAGCAAGAATATGGGTTAATGGCTAGATCACCTCATAAGGCAAAACAAATGAAAGCTCTCATTACCCGGAATATAATCTATTGTATAACCGGGGTACACTGCAAAATATAGTGGGCCTTAACACAACCATATCGTCCGGTAGTTTTAAATTATCCTGCAAATTTAGAAGTACCTGCATAGTCAGCTCACAAAGAAAAAGTCACCCCTTTGTAGTGATCATTTAGCTTTATCTTCTAACTTTTATCATAATTAAACCCAAAGAACAAGAGTCATTCCTAAAATATGATTGACATTTCCAAAATCATATCAAAAAACCAAAATGCAATGTGCTATTGTTCATCTAATAAATATATTCAAAGCAAAAGTTGCATACTCCTTGATAGAATCCAGTTGCCCCTCCAAAATAAACCACCATAACTTGGTTAGCCCGCTCAAATATGTGTGCTAGAGGGAGATATGAGATGTATCTGTAAGAATCAAAAAGAGTTAAATAAAAGCTTGAATATCAAGTGGAAAATTGCAAGTGGTTATTATTTCTTGAAATTGCAACAAAATATAAGGTATGATTGCTTTATCGTATTGCAGTGTGGCAGTAATTGATATTTACATATCTGTGAAATGCATTTTGAGACAGAGACTCAAACCCGCTACATTTGCAACCAAGTTTGCATGGGTCAACACAACTCCCTACAGTATTGCAGAAAAAAAAAAAAAAACAGAATTAGTTGGTGTGTTTAGGCAATCAGTTACGATACAAGGCTAAGTAATATGTTATACCTTCGGTGTTCCAGTAGTACCACTTGTGTAGCATATAGTAGCAACATCATTAGGGTTTGGGGAAGAGAAAGGTTGAAGATTGTCAAGACCCTGAAAGGAAATCATCCCATTTTATTAGGCCCAATTCGGATGAGCTTATTTTCCACTTTTTTGCTGCTTGCTATGAGCACTTATGCTGATCTTTAACTGTGGATGGGCTTATATGGTAAGAGCTTATGGCTTTTGAATAGCTGTTTTGATCTTATTGAAAAACACTTATTTAAGTTGATTATCCAAACTAGGCATTCTTCAAATTTGATTACACAATAAATCTTTTTGGTCCACCAGAAGAGAAAGTGCCCATGCTCACTACAGGGAAGCAATTCATGAAAGAAAGCTCAATAAGACATCAAATTCACATAAAATTGCTAACGTGAAGTGATCCTCTCCTAAAATAGTTATGGACTTATGGTGAGCAAACTGGAACATTTTTCAGAAAGGTCCTATATACAGAAGAATATCAATTAGTTCCATTATTGTTTCAATTAGAGATTAAATATGTTAACGTTAGCAGAAAGCAGTGGGAAGAGATCACACTTCAAGTGTTGCATGAAATGCTTCCTTGATCTAAAATCCATCCATCTACTCACAAGTGCTTCAGGGTGATGGAAATATCAAATTATCAATAACAAGTAAATTTTCCAATGCCTCATAAAAATAAAAGGAAAAGTAATACAGAGTAACTTTTATGAAAGCTTATGATGTCACCTGAGCAAACAGCTTTGAATATGATATCACTTCAACTCCAGTTGATGCTGGAAGTGATGGAATTTTCCCATCTACTCCTCCAACTACCTACTATCCCAAATCAAGTTCACATGAAACACTGGAAGAATTGACACTACCTTTAAGATATAAGGAAGAATCCCGTACCACAATCAACTGCACTGAAGGAATCTCAGACAAGAAGCTTAGTAACTGCAATTTTGAAACAAAAAAAATAACAAATAACAGCTTGTACCAACTAAAAATCTTGTAAGGAAGTCACCGAATATGCTTGTCATGATTTATAAAATATAATCAGATGGTTCAGATTGATTAATCAGAAGGAAATGACTAAATGCTGTTTAGTGTGTTAAAAATGAATATTAACGATGCATGAGGTTCTGGCACAGATTGGAATAAGCACTCAACCACTCTATCCCAACCCACAAACTGATATATGAACATGCTCCCCTTCCTCAATCTGAAAAGACTTCAAACTAAGCCAGTAATCTCACATTATATAACGTTTGTGGCATACAAAATATAGCCTTTATAGCTGCATGATTGGTAATATATTTGGCAGCTTCAGGACCTGCAATGTAAATGCTAAGTAAGCGTTTTAGGAAATTATTTCCATATTTAAAAGTTCTCTGGGTTGAAGAAAGACCAACCAAGGGTATCATACAGGGGAACTGAAACAAATGAATATGCAGAGCAGGCATGGTCTACAATTAACCATTCTGGTCTGTTGATAAAATATATGCCAATAGACGAACCCTGCCACAACAATCAACCAAACATGAAGAAACCCCTCTTAATCAGTTTTTTGGAGACAAAGAACATTTAAAAAAAAAAAAAAAAAAAAAAAAAAAAAAAAAAAAAAAAAAAAAAAAAGTGCATAACCCTCCAACACTTGCAAATGCAGAAAAAACAGAAGGCACAACCAAAATGAATCATTAAAAGTCTTCTAATTTCTAAGTTCTAACAATTAAAGTAAGCTTTTCAAAAGTAAATTGCCTTGGATATTCCACGACAAACAAGAGCTGAACCAATTGCTGACCGTGCACTACCTGCTTCCTCATATGTCATCCATCTGTACCTGTAAAACATATTCCACTAAATACTAAGTTCATGTGCTCTAAAATAGTTCTCTCTCAAGTTCAATTTAAATGACTGACTTACTCCCCTACAGTTCCATCTTCCCCAAGTCGTGTACCTAAGTAATTGCGATGGCTGAAATCCTTAACTGTGCGACTGACATCAATTAAATACAAAAAAATCAAGGTAGGTATCCATATCGGTGTTAAAATGGAAAGGTAAAGGATCTGATCAAGTAAAAATTAGAAGCTCACACAAAATTTTCATGCAAGGTTCCAATCTCAGGATGATCAACAAATCGGCTCACGAGCTTCAAAGGAGACCGTGCTGATCTGCAATTGCAAGTAAATATGTTTCATACAATCATCAAGGAATATATATATTTCAAAAAAATCTTCACTGGTCTAACCTGTACACATTCCATTTTCCAGTCTGCAGTTTCTCGGGAAGCACAACACCGTATCCTTGCTCTGATTACATTCATGATCAGTTGATCACCAATTCACCATCTTAATTAGCTCAATACTTGCATATATACATGAAAAACGTACATATAGTACTATACCAGTATATATACCGTACAATCGTACATCACAGTTCATATATACTACACTACCGCAGCGAAAGGCAGGTTACCAGAGTAATACTCTCCGGCGGTGAGACTTGATCGGAGAAGTGGTGGTGAATCGCCGGCGGTGGTTGTTAGGTGGTGGTGTATTGCTTGAAGACGACGGTTTGCTTTAGTTTCCATGAATGAGACGGTGTCGTATCTCCTCGTCTCTTCCAGAAAGAATATCTACCTAAATTCTATCAGTTTGTTACAGGACCGGAGCAATATAATAAAGAAATGAGTCAAATAAGGTGCATGATTGCATGACACAGGGAAGGGATATAGCCAATATGCCCTTATCCAATTATACTTTTTACTTTTTATTGCAGAATGCCAGAATCTCCGATTAATTTATGACAAAATCAATTAAATTATTAGAGTTGATGAATAAAATAGTTTTCATTATTTTAAGTCGTGAAACGTTTAACTCGTTTAGTAACTGAAAAATTTCTTAAATTTTTTAAAAAATTAGAGAATTAGAGAACATAAAACATAAGATCTTGAAGGAAAAGTAGCATTTTTTTTTTAGAAAAAAAACGTCTATTACAACTTTTAACTTTTCTTCGTTTCCAACAAAAAAAATAAAAATTGAATTTTCTTTTATTTATAAAAAATCTCGTAGCTGCTACACTTTTGACCTTCTATAGTTAATTGTGTTGGTGTAACGTAACTTCGGTTTATATAACTTACTACTGACTTTGATAAAGAATACATTTGATTTATGAGAAAGCTCACAGCTCGTAGTTCATACACCTTTGACCTTTCTTAATAGCTAATTATGTTGGTATAATGTAAACTCAGTTTTTGTAAATTATTACGTAGTAGTATTTCTCTAACTCTCATGTTAAAAAGCACTAAGCTAAACTTTTCGAGTGCGACCCGAAGAACTCTAATAAACGCAATATGTTATGTTAAAAGCTCTATAAAAATTTAAAAAAAAAAAAAATCAAACTCTATAAATACATTTTCATCAAATTCTTCAATATTGATTCTTACTGGAATGATGAATGCTTTTGGAAGGTAGTGTGTTAGCTTTCGTGTGGGGCACAGGAATTGATCCACATCCACCAACCTTATCTAATTTAGTAAAGAGTTAATTCCTTTTTCTTTTTCTTTTTTTTCATAGATTTATTAGGAATTGGACACTTATTGTCTATCATAAAAAAAAAAAATTCTCACATTTTAACCACATTTTAGCCATTCTTATTATGATCATGCCACTTTTTTCTTATTATGATCGTGCCACTTTTGATCCTTCGTCTTCTGTCATTCTATTTCTATGTGCTCTTATTCTCAAACTTTAGCTAAAGGAATTAACTCGTTAGTAGATATCCGGAACATAACATGTAATGACCATATTCAGTAACATAATTAGCTTATTAATTAATTTTAACTTATGTAACCATTATTAACTATTTAACTAAATACAAATATTTGATTAATTAACCTTTTTTAACAACTTATTACTTCAAACCAATAAAATTAAAAAAACTACTCAAAATAACTTTTTCGATCAACTTTTTGAGAAAGTCATTTTACATGTAATCAGCTATCTACTATCAACTAACAACTAATTTATCAAACTAAAGTTATCAAATAGTCCAACCCACTAACTCAATCAGTTATTTACCAAACACCCCCAGTATCACTAATACTTCACCTGAAATGAAATATGTAATAATTTTTAATAAAAAATAAAACACTAATACACTAATATTACAAAAACAAACCAAATAGACAAAAAAATCTACTCCGCAAAAAATTAATTATAAAACCAAATTTCACGTAAATTGTAAATAATTTGAAATCAAAACACACAACACCAACAGAGATTTCAATGTCCATCAACTCCTCTTTACAACATATCATCATAGCATTCAAAATGGACACTATACAAAACAAGTTAACAGGAACAGAAGCACAGCTGCTGTAATTGGAAGCAAGAAGAATCACTGTAAGAGATGCAAGGTAAACTATAATCTCTAGCTATTTGATCTCTTGTGGCATGCTAAAAGAGCTCCATCAATTGTTGCGCAACATCTGCACGATAAACAATCGCACGATGGTTATATGAGACACCGATTAAGTAGATAATGTTAGGACAACAGAAAGAATCAAGTCATTCTTGCCCCCAGAGGTTGAATCCCCAACCCTAAGGGCCCCCACACCCCAACCCTGGCCGGGCAGAGCATTTGAGAAATGTAAATCACAGTAACTCAGTAGCTCAACGGACAGGGCCAAATGCCGATGCATAAAATCAAGACATTTTTTTTTTTGAGTACTATTGACTCTGTTACAATGTAGTATCCTATTCATAAATACTTTCTCAACATACTGAAGCACAAAGAGTCAATGCCCCCACACTGAGGTTCGAACCTGAGACCTCTCATTTGAGAAGCCACAGTTATGCCGCTCGACCACAAGGCCTTTGACAAAACATTCTATTCAGATGACTGATGACCAAAATACCAGCCAAAACGGCGTGTTCAGGTGTTATCAGTCAAAAAGAATGTTATAAAATGGCACCGTTACCAACTGCTATACAGGAAAACTATACATACCTTTGAGTACAGGGGGCGGAGTTTCAAACTCCTGCCAAATTTTGTGGCTTGAAGCCATGTTCATATTTAAGAACTTTGCAGCAAGATAAGCGGCACCAGCAGCAATCTGATGCGGTTTGAATTGAAGCCATAACGAACTTCTAAGCCTGCAATGCAAAGCAGAGACGAGGTTTAGACATACAGAGCGGTGGAATGAATTAACACCTAATCCAGGAGAACGGGATAAATGACCAACCAAATCAATTGCAGCAACAATAGGAGGGACGTTACATTCAGTTCACATTTGCCACGTCAAAAACATGAGAACTAGTAATTTTGGGAGTACTACTTCTTGCCAACGAACAATTAAAATCATTTAAGTCTGATACAGGTAACATTATCGCCAAACAACTTTTTAAGGCGTCAAGTCAAGTATGGAAGTCAAAAAGCAAACCGAAACAATTTTCCCTTACCAACTAACAGAGCAGCAATGGAGATGGATAAACCCAAGAATCTTCTGCAGAATGTCGATAGAGTACCAAGAATATAGCAAATATGTTATAAGCATCTAGAGAGTGCACCAACTCCCAGTCCCAGCTCTGCTGCAGCAGTATATCAACCCCAGAAATATACACAATTCAGACATAAGGGCTAAGAGGGTACGTTGACAAGTCTGAGGGATAGACCGTCTCATCTTCTACTCATGAACAGAACACCCCAATTTGAAATCATTCATGACCTTTCCTAACACAGTTTTCTAGTACTAGAAATAAACCGAAGTCTACAGGGCAGGCAATGATGCAAAATTAGAAACACTATCACATCATACGTAGCCAACTGCCGTATGCACTAGTATCTACAAACAGCAGGATGGAGTTACCTGATAAATTTCTTATCTTTTTTTTTTCTTTTCTTTTTGGAATGTATAAATAACATATATGTACACAAGTGAGCCAACTCTTTCCTTGTTAGAGACAAGTAAAACATCTGCGAAGCACATGATACTCAGCCAACAACACCTTGCTTGAGGGATCCTAATTGGCTGTCGAAGCTTACATAAGATGTTGAGGCACAAACCTAAAGCAATGGAGGCACTTTTCCTATCCAAAGGCTCAGTATAATAGTTACGCATCTCCCCACCCCCAAAGGAAAACTACTACTCAATTCAAGAACCATTCTCAATCACCCCAAGTCCCCATACATCAGCCAATAAACCCCACAAATAAATGACTACTCCCTGCAAGAAGCCCAGTGTAATAGTTTATGCAATATAAACTATTGCTATACTAGGGCTGTTAAACACTTGCCTTAAGTGCCCCAAAAATTTTCAAGCCAATAACTCACCAAACACCTTTTCAGGTTCACTGCCCTATTTATCAGTGTCCTATGTGGACACCAAAAAAATAGGTGATAAGGAAATTAGTGCACCAGGACACAGTAGGTTTCTTCCTTGTGACGTGAAAAACAATGTCATGGCAAAACTGCTTCTGGAGCATCTGTGACTATCTTCTACACCTTTTCAGGTTCACTGCCCTATTTATCATTGTCCTATCTGGACACCAAAAAAATAGGGGATATGGAAATTAGTGCACGAGGACACAGTAGGTTTCTTCCTTGTGACGTGAAAAACAGTGTCATGGCAAAACTGCTTCTGGAGCATCTGTGACTATCTTCTACAGCCAATGAATTGCTATTTACATGTTATGGAAAAAAGCATCCACAAGAAATGGCTAGTTTTAACTTCAGATGAAAAACAAAACATTTGATGAACAGCATATCAACCGCCAGCTAACAATATCATACAAGCGACCAAGATAATCCTTCTAAAGACCCTGCAATTATATGGCAATCCAAATGTATCAACATCAGATTACAGAATGACTACATAGAGTAATTAAGACGGGTAAATTAGAATTTGCACAGAAGTTACAAAGAGTTGTAAGCCAAGGAAGGAAAAGCAGAAGTAAAGAACCAATTTGATCCCATCTATAACCACTGCTCGCAGACTCAACCAAGAAGCAGAAAATTCAGATTCCTACAGCCACGCTTTGGTTGAGCAAATGCCATGATGGAAGCAACAATCTAAGAGAGTCAAATTCTATAAACTGGATATCACAACAACTAGAAGTTCGTAGATATATAACAGCAAAGGAAACAATCAGGCAGAAAAAATAATTGGCCCAAAATACACAGAATCCTCCAGAAAAACTGATGAATGCAACCAATTCACAAGATTGAAATGAAGCATGCATCTTACCCTTCACTGACCAAGTTTAGTGCCAAGTTCACCAAAACTGTTTGGGAAAATCCTAATTTCTCAAGTGTGGAGGTAAGAGAAGTATATGGGTGCTGCACATTGAGCTCAAAATTTAAAGTTGTCAAGATCAATTGCTCAGCCTCAGTAATCCGTTCTCGGTATTGCTCAAACCAGTCCTGTATAAGTTCAATAGACATAAAAACATGTTACAGATACAACTAAAAGCAAAGAGAAAATTATAGAAATAGATAGGAAGTAAAGATACTGACAACTGGGAGTGTATATGATAAATAAGAAAAGTCCTGCTTATGGAAAATCTCAGATGCTGATCTCAACACGTTGTTGAGAGGACATGGAGTCTCTTCTGATTTAGCAGCTAGGAAGAGAGCAGCAGTAGCGACCAACTGCAATAGCAATGATAAGAAACAATCATCCCATGTTGAAATGTATTGGCAGATAGAATTGTCATTTGACACTACAAAAATATTAGCAACTAGAAACAGGACACTTACAAATCTATCATGACAAGCATGAGACCTACGGACAAAGAACCGGTGACAGAGAACCATGGCAGTCCCAATTGTTGTTTGTGGCCTACAGGCAAGTAAAACCAAGATCAGTATCAGTCTAGCAATAGTTGAAATTAAACAACTTATAACAACACTAGACTAAAGACACTGATAGTGAGTTGAATTCCAAAAATGCATTGTTTCGCTCAAAGCGTATGCATGTACACAAGTTCACGCATGAAAGGAAACTCACAGTTCAAGTCGAGCTCCAAGGGTCTGCAGGAATGCACAATACGAATATCGCAAATGCATTTCACACACAGCATCAATACCATCTTTCCTGGAAGGAGAGCACCTCTCAATTTCCTCTCTGGACATAAAAACCACCTCACTGTCATCATCTTCAAATTCTGAGCGGCCACGCTTGTAGTTATTAGAGGCATGCCCATTGGAAAAAGACCTATTACTGGTACTAGTAGTGGAAATTGCAATACTGGAATTATTGTTGCATATTGAGGTGACACTATCATATGCACTCTGATTCCTTGGATGCATGTTGTTATGTGTGCTTGGTTGTCTTGGTGGAACGTTATTACATGCATGGAGTTGCTGATGGTAACTCGCACTACTTCCCCATGAAGAAGATAAGCACTTCCTTCTCTTTGCAGAAGGTTCAACCTCAGGTTTCACACAATTACTATTGTAATTGTAGCCATACTCCATAAAGTTTTTACGGATATCATTTGGATGATCAATATCTCCTTGATGTGTAAAGCTATAGTCAAAATACTTGGTGTTGTTGTAGGTATTGGGAGCAAGTGTGGCATTGTGGTTATTAGCATGGTTTCTACCATGTGAGAATCTGTACTGACCACGCAAAGGACCACCTTTTGTATGGTATGTCTGAGAATAAGCCATTATACCTGTTTAATTCAACAAACAAAATAACTCAATCACTCAACATAAGGCAAACTTCATCCTATGCACTTGTCATTTTCAATTGAATTAGTTCCTCATCAATAAAAAGACACAAAATAACACCATAGTTGAATCTTTCCACTAAAGACAGAGATGGGATTACAACACAGCCTAAGTGAACCAAAATACAACCAAGAAAAATAAAGCTGCAAGTATGGAACTTGATGAAATAAGTTATAGGAGCAACAATCAGGCATTTGAAGTGCTTATGCCTGATTTAAAATAATACAAATTAACATCAAAGGCTCAATTGCTCAAATTAAAAAGTAAACATAAATATTTGATCTTGACTTGAGTAATAGGTACTTAAATTATGCAAATTAACCTCTACCGAACAGTAAAATATAAAAAGATCTAATCTTTCTATATGATGATCTTTTTTTTAAAAAAAAAAAGCCCATAGAGTTGACAATTTGACACTAACGAGTAGAACAATTAAATTACAAATAACTTCCAATTTTACAAACCAAGCAACCAACAATGGTAAAACGGAACATCAAGGGAAAACTTCATCAAATCCCGATTTAATAATTGCAAAACAAAGAGAATAAATTCATAATTAAACATATATATATTGAATTGCTAACAAATCGAGAGAGATCCATGGATAATTAGACCAGAAACTCACCGGATTAGCAGAAGAGCTAGATCAAGCCGTATCCGGGAATCTAAAAACAACAGTTCTGCAAAAAGCGGTTGCTTTTTTTTTCTTCTAATTATTCTGAGGAGAGGTTGGGCGATCGGCGGAGATTAATAGGGTTTTGACGTATGAAACCGACGAAAGAGAATTGTGAAAGAAGAGAGATTTACATAGAAAAATCCATAGATAGACAGAAGGTAAATGGCGGATATAAACGTAAGAATATGTCGCTGTGATCGTGTTGTGTACTTTTGCCCTTTTCAGGTCAACATAAACTAAGGGGCGTGTCAAACACACCCCAAATCTCATTGGGGATTATTCGGATTAGGTTATCTTTATTTCTGTAAAACTCTTCTACTTTAAAAAAAAAACAGATCTTACTTTTACATTGTTAAATTTGTGATTCTTTTTTTATATATACATCTATGCAATACTTTCTCATTTTAAATAAATAAATTTATATATATATATAATAATAATAATAAACTTTTAAAAAAATAGAAGAGCTATCAAATGACAGCAAAAGTTGCGGATTCTCGTGTGAATAAAAATTTAAAAATGAAAATTGATCTTTTTTCCCACCTCATCCTGAAAGTGGTAAAATTTCAAGGTTGAGGATAGTCTTATAAATTATCTCATGGCGGATAGCGAGTTAGAGGCATAGGCCGCATACCAACACTTAAAGTGGTCGTAGTCTTGCTGATCAAGGAATAAGAGATTTAATTATGTAGTAATAGACAATAAAGTCATAGGTGTAGCAATACCTCAAGTTGGCAATTGACCTAACTCAATGAATAAGATATATGATCATATAGTAATTAGCGACCTAACTCAAATAATAAGATATTCGATCCTATGGTAATAAGGTTGGTGGTCTAGCTCAAGAAAGAGGAATTCTAAGAGCATCACCATTAGTTAATTTTTAAAGTTTTCAATCTATTTTCGTAGATAAATGAGAGATACGATGAGAAAGAAGAGTGATTTAACAGTTAAAGATGATTTTTTTTTTCTCAAATTTCAAACCAGATATACAAAAATCTAATGGTGTGCATTGCGCATAACTCTAATCGCATAGTAGTATGTGGTAAAGTCACAAATGTTTGCTTTGGTGGGAGTGTGAGGAAGGAGGTTTAAGAATGTAGTATACGGATTTCACTTTTTACTAAAAAAAAAAAGTTATAAAATCAGGTTTACTAATCAAATAAATTCGTTATTTTAAGGAGAAAAAAAAAAAAAAACTAGAAAAAACAAACATGTTTATTTATACATCTGAAAAGCAGAAAATAGAGAATTGAAGCGTAACCTTACGTTACACTGCTCAGTTGCAACTCAACCTCAACCAAATATACACAAAAAGAAGCAAAAATAACCCCCCACCCAAAAAAAAAAAAAAAAAAAAACAAAAACAAAAAAAACAAAAAACAAGAATTAATTGAATACTATGCACATATAGTTAATTGAGAATGAGATTAGCACAGATCTTCATGCTGGTGGTCCAGACAAAAATGGATTCCCAGGAGTAGTCCTGGAAAGAACAACAAATTGGTAAAGTAAATATACAGCAGGAACAAGATGAAGCTGCAAGTTATGAAAACACATATATATTGCAGATTTGCTGAGAAAATACCTTAGATTTATCCCAGGTCTCCCAAGAATGCTGCCTGGTATTTGGCCTGTCAGATTGTTGTTTTGCAAGAAGCTGCAGCCATAAAAGTAGTATACATATCAGCCATGAGTCTTGTTAAACTATCCAATTAACATCTGTTAACCTAAAATCAGCCATAAGATATAGCATTCTGGTTCACTAATAGTTGGCTTAAATATGCCAAACATAAGAGTTTTTGATGTAGCAAAGGTTCAAATGAATAGGGTATCCTAAACCTTAAGGCTTTCGATTCCATGTTGTCATCAAAGGATAATGTAACTTACAGTTCGCGAAGGCTTTTGATTCTCCCAAGTGACGGGGCAATCTCCCCACCAATTTGATTGTCTTCCAAATGCCTGACATGACAGAACAAACACAGGAAATTGTAAGACATAAGCAAATGGAAACAGCAGTAGTGATCTGAGATGAAGGGGAATGAAGAACAGGCTTATATGTCTGAACTTACAAGATTTCCAATCTCTTTAATGAAGATAAATCTGGGGTAGATCCAGACAAATCATTGTTCCCGAGCCAACTGTCAAAACGAAACATATATCCATTAGTAACTACATACATTAATCTCCCCAAAACTTGCTAGTTTGAGTGAAGTTTATGATCACCTACATGCCACTCAATGCTGTCAAATTGGCAATGCTTGATGAAAGCATTCCCGAAAGGCCCATACCCGTGAGGTTTCTGTGGAAAAAAAAGCGGGGAAAGTACAAGAGTAATCGCAACATTTCTAGTAAGGTTAGGCAAGGACAAACTGACAAAGTGTTCATAAGATATATAATTAAGCTAGCATCACGACTTACAATGTTGTAACACGAATTCTGGTTCCTCCAGAGCAAACAACCCCGGTCCATGAGTACTGTGGCGGTAGGCAGGGATCGCCATTCCAATCGAGAGGAGGATTCTCGAATCCCTCCTTCAATTTCTCCAAAGCTATCACTGCAATAAAGAAGCCCACATTCTAGTCATCCAGAAAACATTAATAAGACAGAAGAACCTGCAGGGGGGCTAGCATACCATCTCTAGTGTGAGTTTTGCCCCCGAGGGGGAGGACTCGAAAGACCTCTCCTGCATTGATAAGAGGAGCAACGGTCGAGCCTGGAGCGCGGGTCAAGGTTACATTTGTGATTCCAGAAAGAGGCCATTGATTTGCAAAGACCATCACACCATCTGCTGTCACACTAAGGTTATGGTAAAACGGGACGCCATTTAAGCTTATATCGAACAACGATCTCCCTGAAGGCGAATCCCGGTCATTGGCAAAGTAAAGGGCAACATAATACGTCGCGCTGGGGAGAGGATATGGAGGCCAGAGTAACTCCATAGCCTCTGATTCTTCACTGGCTGTCAAGCCTGTCTGGAATACATCAATGGGGGGTTGATTCCAGATGCCAGAAACAGACACCTTGCCGGAGTTCAGTGCTGGAGAATGGTCTCCAAATGGCGCCCAGAACCTGTCAAATTGATCTGCAGGATATCTACCCAACAATATCCCTAGTTAAATGCTAAACTAAAACCATAAAGGAAAATTGAAGCATGTGCTCCATCTCAACTAAAAGTTACTAAGCAGCACATCTCAACTAAAAGTTACTAAGCTGATAGTTGGATTGCACGTTAATGGTTATATGCTCAACACGCCCCTCACGTGCTCAACTAAAAGACTAAGCTGATAGTTGGATTGCACATTAATGGTTATATGCTCTGTAAAGTGAAGGGACTAACTGAATAATTGGTCCAGTGTGACCAAAAGTGTGCCGGGCAATCAAACTAAAACCATACTGGGTGAAATCGGTGGAGTTGTAGAGAGATTCCGGCAGCAATACGAGCTCCAACGCAGATATAAAAGGGTCGGAATCCGTATACTTATTAGCTCCCAGACAGACGCTCATAGTTTTCCCGGCGGCGAGAAACACGCCTTCATAGTACGAAGACATCCCGTTCAAATAATCCTCCGTCGTGTTCACGACAGCCCACGGCGTCCCCGCCACAATCTGGTCAAACACCGGCGGATTAGGATGCGCATTCCCGTTGACCCCGCCGTAGAAGTACGTCGTCCGGACCATGTACTTCCGACCCCGGTAAACCGGCACGACGTAGCAGAATTTCCTGAAACTATTATTATTGTTCCCAACCGGGAAAGTGCGCACCGTCGAGAGGGTGGAGTCCAGAACCGATAAAGACAGGTTCTTGGGCGCCCCGGCGGCGATGAAATCGCCGTCCGGCAACCATTTCCGGCCGCTGATCACTCTGCTCACCGTCGCGCCGCAGTCAATCAGGTAGCCTGCAAAAAGAATGGAAATCTAATTAATCAGACCGTAAAAGCTAAGGGCAACCAAAACAGGGCAATTAATTAACACGAAATGAAGTACTTCTGGGGGGTTGAGAAGCGGAAAGAGGGAAGAAGATGGAGAAGAGGAGGAGGAAAGAGAAGAAGGGGTTCACGGCCGCCATGGGAGGTGAAGATGGTGGAGGAGAAGATGTGTAGGTGAGATGGAGAAGAAAAGAATAGTGGAAGAAAGCTAAGGTGAAGTTGGTGAAGAGGAAAAGAATAATGGAGAGTGGACGGCCATTTGAGAGGGTTACGCGGGAAGTGGTCAGAGAGCTCAAATGGAATGGTTAGTTTATATTTTCTTTAATTATATAAAAAAATATATATTAATCTTAGGAATAAGGGCCAAATTGGCCACGTAACGCGAAAGTGCAATCAGACCACCGAACAAAAAAAAAAGTGCAATTATACCATTCAACAAGTCAAATGTGTTCAATTTTACCTAACAGCCGGTATTCTTCTTTTCCTTCCGGTTAACTTGCTGAGTTGGCATTTTTTCCTCTTTTTTTTTCTTCTTTCTTCTTACAGCCTGTCTTTAGCGTCACTCTCCTCCTCCCTAGCCATGGAACCTTCCTCCTCCCTTTCTCTCTCCTAACCCCACAAAAAACCTTCAAACTGTAAATTCTCAGAATTCCCCCTCCTCCGCCACCATAGCCAACCACCACTTCTGCAAGCACTCCCCGTCCGCCACCCACGCCTTCGACACGAACTGAGCTATCCATTGAGTTGCTTGCAAGAATCGCGTCTGCAAATCCTTTTTTACAGTATCAGTTTTACAGTAAGTTTTTCCTCTTTTTTTGCCTCTGCTTTTGCTCGATCTCTTTTTATCTTCTAGAAAGTGATGTTATTGTTGGATAGTTTCAGCTTGCTGCTGGGGTTCGAGAGAGAGAGAGAGAGAACGGGGTCGTCGTCTACTTGATGAAGCAGTAGCTGGCGGTTCATCTGTCGTTAAAGTCTTGTTGGTCGGAGATTTGGGAGTAGGAAAAAGCACTGTTATCCCACCTCCGCTCCGTCGACGTCCAAATCAAATACATCCTGTTCAATTTCTTCTTCATCATCTTTCGATCATCACGGCTGTGATTGTTTTCGAGATCTGCTGCGGCAATCGATCTTGGAAATGCAAGAAATCCAGGTGCAAAAGGCTGTGGAAAGCCATGGAGTTTAACTTACAAGTTCAGGATGAGGAGTGCTTGAAAGTGTGATAAATGTTTAATGGGTTAATAAATTACTGTATGCATGATGATAGAAATTATGTACATACAT